TATCTATCAATAGAGAATAGAGATATTTGTACCCTGTCAAAGTAAAGAAGTTTGGCAAATTCATTTGGAAAAGATTTAATTTTTCTGATAAAATGGAAAAAAAATTCTCTCTATGAAAAGTTGTTGCCATCCGTCTTTTCTGAAACACAGCGCCTTTTTTTCGATTTTTTTTGTTTTGAAATGAAAAATATTTATAAGAACAGGGAATGTCAACCAAATCCATATCCATATTTAAATTAAAATTAGGATATTCTTGAAAGTGATTTTCTTCTGAATCATATAGATTTCTATTTAGATCTGAAAACGGTTGACAATAAGTTGTTTCCAAATTGACTATTTCTTCCTCTGTAGAAGATGTTCCAAAAGTATTTAGAATCAAATTAGGCATGACTGGATCGGATTCCCTTACAGAATTAAAAAAATTCTCAAAGTTATACCGTGGGTCACCATTTTTGGCAAAATCCTTAAATAAGGAATCAATTAGTGAAATAGTAGCTCTATCCCCAAAAACCTGTCTTTTTTTCCCACCACCTAAAGAAACTTTTTGATTCCCAAGGAACAAGCTATTTAGAAATTGCTCATAGAGAAAATACGAATTAGTATTCCGAGTCCTTTCCACAGAAAATGGAAATCTTCTCTTACAATCTAACCAAAAGTTAGAGTTAGGGCGAATATTAAAGAAGCGAAGTCTATTTGCTTTATAAAAAGCGGATATAAGTGAACTTCTTTCAAATAGGTTCATGGGATGAAACCCATTAGCCTTTTCATCAAAATATTTTGGTCTAGTAAGCAATGCATCAATCCTCTCTTTTGCTATATTATGAAACAAAAAGGGTGATCTTTTTGTTTCATTGATAACAAAGTTCGACGTACCAGACTCTTCCAACAAAAAGGGGTTTAATTTTTTTAAATAAATCATTTTAAACCCTATTGATTCCAACAACTGATTACAAAGTTGACCGTTCGGTCCTTGTAATTGATAGATATAGATTTCGGACCTCTGAACAGGACTAGTACCAAAACTTACACAGGAAAAACCAAGTGAATTAGACAAAAAGAAAAGCAACTTGATCATACAGTGAAATCCCTTCGTAAAAAAAAAACGAAGTGACTGGGGAAAAAAGAAGAAACGTACTGATTTGGACAACTTGGTAAAAACTAAAGGAACTAACTTATACACATTTTTTTTTACTTTGATTTCTACTTCCCTGCGAACCTTAGACCAATAAATCCATTTCTCAGTTATTTTATCAATAACATAAATACATAATTTATAAACTTTCTCAAACATCATTTGCAAATGGCCCTTTCGGACTTGAACATACATTTCAAAAAGTCTTTTCTGCTCATAAAGAAAATGTTTTGAATTTTCTTGTAAACTCTTTGCCCCATTTGACCATTTGGATCTATATGGATGACCCTGTTTTATTTTATATGTCATATGAGTTAGATGATTGAGAAGACCCGTTTCTTTTTGATCCCCTTGAATTCTCCTAATTCGATATTTGAAATTGTGATTGGATATATTTATGAAAACAAATTTATTTAATAGATTTCTTATGTACACATAGGTACTAGATTGCATTTGAATCATATTGTGAATGAATCTATATCTATATAGATTCACTGCTTCAATCCATACGCAGTTTTGGCCCGTTCGCTGAAAAAAAGAGTTATTCTCCTTATAACGAAAAAAAATAGGCGAAAGAGCCAACAAAGATTGATTTTTTGATTCAGTCCTAGTATTGAATATTTTATTCAATAATTTGATTTTATGCAATTCATATGAATCTATATTAACAAAAAAAGTAAATCCCTGATTATAGACTGGATCCGGCTCGCTTATTGTCAGAATAAATAAACCTGGACTTTTTTGTAATTTTTTTTCTGATTTCCAATTATGTTGTAGCACATAGCTTCCTTGTTTACTTTCAAGGAATCGGTTAACAAAAGAAAATAATGGAGTTTTTTTAAGAAATCCAGTATTCTTCGAATTTTCTATTTCGGGATCCAAAGAAATAGACTTAATTAAAACAGTCCTTTTTAAATACGTAAGTATTCTAAATAGATTAACTATTTCTTTCTTTTCCGCTTGCCGGACAAAAGAAAGAGATTTATTCCTAAATTTCGGATCCATATTGGACTTAGCAATAGGAGTTGATCCCATATAAAGTTCTGACCATCTATCAGAGTAAAATGAATAAAGGGACCTCGGGGCATTGCCCCGAGATTGTTCCCTTTCTTTCGGAAACGGAAGGCTTAGCGTGGGTTTACGGCCTTTGATCTCTTTTTGTTCGGTTTTAAGAAAGTAAGGATCCCAAGAAGTTGATCTTTGTTTTCGTTGTTTAAATTTTCTTTTATTCATTAATTTGGAATATTCGGAATCCTCATTTCTAATGGAATCCAAAAAATTTCTATCCAAGGATCCTTTCGGTTGGCCGGAATCTTTTACTTGTAAGGAACTAGATCTTGTGGAATCATAAGGAAACTCCAGCGATTTTTTATCTTTTAATAATACCAGATTTAAACCAAGAAGTTTCATTGGAATTTCTCTAAATTCCGTTCTAGTTCGTCTAATAATTTCTCTAATAAAGTTTTTCCCCTGCGTCGAATCTGACTTTGATTGAGGCATGTTAGGTTTTTTTTTTATTGGCAAAACCCGAGTATTATAGTTCGTATTCAGTAAATCAATATCAATTTGATTTTTGCCTTTTGGAAAAGAAAGGAGTAAAATACTCAATCGATTTAGAGTAGAATAACCACTATCTTGATCAGTTATGGATTCACTGCAATTCATCGGTATAGGAAAAAGTCTTTTTAAATAGAGATTTTTTCTTTCAACCATATTTTGATTGCTAATACGATAAATAAAGATAACAACGCCAACGAAAACTAGTAAAACTCCCTTAATCTTGACCGATCGATTGCTTTTTGAACCCTGCAAATTAGGTGAAAGTACAAGACTCCAAATTTGTGGGTCAAACAGTTTTAAAAACCGTTCTTGGGAGACTAAAATATGAATGGAAGATCCGATTGAATTCAATTGGGTCCATGAATCTAAAAAATATTTTGATTTTTTAATCTCTCTCAGTATCTCTCGTAATTCTAGAATCCAGAACTTGTTTTGCTTAGGTTCCATCTCATACCTCCATAAGATTTTATGCAAAAATTTTAAGTACTTGTTTTATATAATTGACTATTGACTATTTAATGTAAAAATAGAAATGATAAATAGAGTCTTTGTTTAGTATTTCAGATTTCCGAAATTCTTTATTTAAACGACATTTTTTTATGTAATATTTTTTGCTGTAATTCGATATTGAATATTAGATTCTCTATTCCTATCATATCCTATCATATAAAATAAAATATCATTTTTTTTTATTTGCAATTCCAAGATTCATAATTACCATAATTATTATATTTTAATTTTCAATTTTTATAGATGATGGTCTCGTTTAAGCATCCATAGCTAAGTGGTTAAAGCGCCCAACTCATAATTGGCGAAGTCGTAGGTTCAATTCCTACTGGATGCACACTATTAGCACTATTAGTTATTTACACAAAATCTCATTGACCCTCCAATTCTTCTTTTTATGATATTTTTGTTATATTTTAGGATATATATTAGCATAGATCTACTTTGAGCATTTCCTTCATAATCCATATTAAATATCATATAAGATATATGCTCCTAGATAGATTTGTCCATATCAAATATCATAGAAGATATATGTTCCTAGATAGATTTCATGTTGACTATTTCCATTTCATATATCATAATAGATAATTCTAGGATACCGATACATATAGAGAATCTATCTCTATATTAGAGATATAGATAGATTCTATCAACACTCAAAATTAACATTTTTATTTCAACTTAAAATAATACGGAATGAATTAAAATTCGGGATGGAATAAAAGATATAATATTAAAAAAAAGAATTTAGTTATTAAAAAATAATAAATAGACTTTTTTTGAAATCCACGTCATAAACTTTGAGTAGTGCTACGCTTCTGGCAAAGGGTCACATAATGGTAGGCCCTCCCTATTAGAGGACATATAATGCAATGGCTACCGCAGATCATTAGACATTGGCTTACACCTCCAAACAAATAAACTTTAAATCCAAAATAAAAATCATTTATATCATGGGAATACAATTATACAAAACTTATAACCCGAGCGAAACCGTAAACAGCCCAAAATTTGCTCGAAGAAAAAATTTGCTCTCTGGAAAGCATCATTGTGGTAAAGGTCGTAATGCTAGAGGAATCATTACAGCAAGGCATAGGGGGGGGGGGTCATAAGCGCCTATACCGTAAAATAGACTTTCGACGGAATGAAAAAGACCTATATGGTAGAATCATAACCATAGAATATGACCCTAATAGAAATGCAAACATTTGTCTAATACATTATAAGACTGGTGAGAAGAAGTATATTTTACATCCGAGAGGGGCTCAAATTGGAGATACCATTGTTTCTGGTACAAATGTTTCAATCAAAATTGGAAATGCCCTACCTTTGACCGAAATCCCCTTAGGCACGACTATACATAACCTAGAAATTACACGTGGAAGGGGTGGACAATTAGCTCGAGCAGCGGGTGCAATGGCGAAACTGATTGCAAAAGAGGGTAAATCAGCTACATTAAAATTACCTTCTGGCGAGGTCCGTTTTATATCCCAAAACTGCTCCGCAACAATAGGACAAGTCGGGAATGTTGGGTTCAACCAAAAAAATTTGGGTAGAGCTGGAGCTAAACGATGGCTAGGTAAGCGTCCTGTAGTCAGAGGAGTAGTTATGAACCCCGTAGACCATCCACACGGGGGCGGTGAGGGTAGAGCTCCTATTGGGAGAAAAAAACCTACAACCCCTTGGGGTTATCCCGCACTTGGAAGAAAAACTAGAAAGAGGAATAAATATAGTGAGAAGCTCATTCTTCGTCACCGCAGTTAATATAATAGTATAATATAGTTAATAGAGTGAATATACTTAATGTAATATATATAGTATAAAAATTAATATAATAGAACAAATTAAATTTATTCATTCAATTATATGAAAAATAAAAAAATAAAAGAATAATAAAATTTATAGGAGTAAACTGTGGCACGTTCACTAAAAAAAAATCCCTTTGTAGCTCATAAAATTATTAAAAAAAATTGAGAAACTTAACACAAAGGGAGAAAAAGAAATAATAATAACTTGGTCCCGGGGATCTACTATTATTCCAATAATGATTGGTCATACTATTGCCATTCATAATGGGAAAGAGCATCTCCCTATTTATATAATGGATGATATGGTCGGACACAAATTGGGAGAATTTGCAACTACTTTAAATTTTCGAGGACATGCAAAAAATGATAAGAAATCTCATCGGTAATGTGAATACTAAAAAATATTTTGATGCTTATAAGTCATTAGTAGGAGGCAAATTTTATGTACCAGATGCTAAATAAAAAAACCCCAGAAGTATACGTTTTAGGTCGACGTATAGCTATGTCGGCTAATAAAGCACGAAGAGTTATTGACCAAATTCGTGGGCGTTCCTATGAGGAAACACTTATTATATTAGAACTCATGCCCTATCGTGCCAGTTATCAAATTTTAAAATTGGTTTATTCAGCCGCATCAAATGCTAGTTACACTATGGCTTCAAATAAAGCAAATTTAGTTATTAGTCAAGCTGAAGTTAATGAGGGGACTGCTGGAAAGAAATTAAAACCTCGGGCTCGCGGGCGTAGTTATCCAATAAAAAGACCGACCTGCCATATCACTATTGTACTAAAAGATATTTCATTCAATGATTCTGAATCCGTGGAGCTCGGTTTGCTAAAAAAACCACAAGCGAAAAAAAATTCTAGAACTAAAGCATATTCTGATATCCAGAAAAGGAGGTATTTATGGGACAAAAAATAAATCCACTTGGTTTCAGACTTGGTACAAACCAGGCCCATTATTCACTTTGGTTTTCGCAACCAAAAACGTATGCTGAAAATCTGCAAGAAGATCAAAAGATAAGAGCTTTTATAAAAAATTATGTACAAAAAAATAGAATCAAACCCTCGGGTACCGAGGGAATTGCAGGTATATGTATTAAAAAAAGACTCGATCTAATCCAAGTCATAATCTATATTGGATTTCCCAAAGTATTCATTGAAAATAGCCCGCAGGGAGTTGAAGAATTACAAAAAGCTCTACAAAAAAAATTAAATTTCGTAAACCGAAAACTTAATATTGCTATCACAAAAAATTGAAAAACCGTATGGAAATCCTAATATTCTTGCCGAATTTATAGCTGGACAATTAAAGAATAGAGTTTCCTTTCGAAAAGCAATGAAAAAAGCTATTGAATTAGCTGAACAAGCAGATACAAAAGGAATTCAAGTACAAATTGCGGGACGCCTTGACGGAAAGGAAATTGCACGTGTGGAATGGATAAGAGAAGGAAGAATTCCCCGCCAAAACTATTCAAGCTAAAATTGATTATTGTTGTTATTCAGTTCGAACTATCTACGGGGTTTTAGGCATAAAAATTTGGATATTTTTTGATCAAGCTCAATAAAATTTTATTCATTCTTTTTACCTGTAATACCGAGCGGCCATTTCACAAATTATTTTGTGTAATGAGCAGGAACAGTTCTAATTGATAATAATGAATTCTATAAGGTTGAATAAAAATTTTATTTATTTTTAATAAAAATATCATTGCTATGCTTAGTGTGCGACTCGTTTATTTTTTAAGGTTAGCATGAAACCAAACCCAAAGTAACAACTACTAACTCGAGAAGAAATTACCTAATAATTAACTCATCAATTTCGCATTATCTGGATCTAAATAACCAGTCACGATATGATTACCGCTCATATCGTTGTAGCAACTGCCATTTATTTGCATAAACGAAAAATAGTATTCAAATATTATTGAAGTTGCGAAGCAAAATATAAAAAAGATGTGGATAATTGGAAGGGAGAGAGAAAGGGAGAAAAAGAAGCTCAATGATTGAAAATTCCAATATGTAGGGTCTAACAAAACAGGCAATGTAATGAAGCATTAATACTTAAATTCTGCATATTAAAGTATTTAAAATAGAATAAGAAATCTAAGAATATTCAATAATAAAAAACAATATACTCTTATTATAGAAATCTATAATCTATATATAAATATTCAATTAGATATTAAATATAGAAGAGATAAAATAAAAAAATAAAGTCAAGAGCTTAAAGCCAATAAAGACTAAGAAAAATGGCTAAAGACTTAAATTATTCATATATTATTACTATTTGAGCTCCATTGTAAAATTAGGACCTAACCATTAAGTAAGAAGTGATGGGGACGACGGAACTTATGAGAATACAAAAGATTCAATTCAATTCAAGATGAAATAAAAAAAAATCTTAAACATTCACTGGCTGGGATGGCGGAATAAACCAATGTTAAATTATTTTATTTCTAGATACTAGCTATAAGATGTCACAAACTCGTCCTAGAAATGAAATCTAAATTGACAGAGTCAATATTCGCCCGCGAAAACTTTTTTCAAAAGAATCAATATTCAATCTAAAGCAATATAAAGAATAGTCAAAAATGAAGGATTAGTTAGACTCAGAGAATCATGAAAAAACTGTAGAATAATTCATTTCAATTCAAATAGATTTAAAAAAAGATCACTCAATCCCTAAATATTATTTTGACTTCTCAGTCCAGACTTTTATTATCTATCTTTAGATTTAGATATCTTCACTATGATTAGTCAATTTGAGTCAAACGCTCATTTTGTAAATACTTTATTCGTAATTCGCGAGGAGCTGGATGAGAAGAAACTCTCACATCCGGTTCTGTAGTAGAGATGGAATAAATAAAAATCCATCAACTATAACCCCAAAAGAACCAGATTCCGTAAACAACATAGAGGAAGAATGAAGGGAATAGCTTCTCGAGGGAATCATATTTGTTTCGGTAAATATGCGCTTCAAGCACTTGAACCCGCTTGGATCACATCTAGACAAATAGAAGCTGGGCGACGGGCTATGACACGAAATGCACGTCGTGGAGGAAAAATATGGGTACGTATATTTCCCGATAAACCAGTTACTGTACGACCCGCAGAAACACGTATGGGTTCAGGAAAAGGATCCCCTGAATATTGGGTTGCTGTTGTTAAACCCGGTCGGATACTTTTTGAAATGGGTGGAGTAACAAAAAAATATTGCCAGAAAAGCTATTTCAATAGCAGCATCAAAAATGCCGATACAAACTCAATTCATTATTTCGGAGATAGAATAGACGATATAACTCTAGAACCAACCCAAAGAATCTTAAGAATGAAACAAAAACAAAAAAAAAAGAGGTTTCGTTTTATGTTTGTGGACAAAAAATATTTCTTTTTTTCTTCGCCCTTTGCATTGTGAAAGAAAAGAATAAAAAAAATGCTATGATTCAATCCCAAACCCTTTTAAATGTAGCGGATAACAGCGGGGCTCGAAAATTGATGTGTATTCGAATAATAGGAGCTAGCAATCGTCGATATGCTTATATTGGTGACATTATTGTTGCTGTTATCAAAGAAGCTGTACCTAACATGCCTCTACAAAGATCTGAAGTAGTTAGAGCCGTAATCGTGCGTACCTCTAAAGAACTAAAACGTGGCAACGGGATAATAATACGATATGATGATAATGCCGCAGTTGTTATTGATAAAGAAGGAAATCCAAAAGGGACCAGAATTTTTGGTCCAATCCCCCGGGAGTTAAGACAATTAAATTTTACTAAAATCGTTTCATTAGCTCCTGAGGTATTATAAAAAAAATTAAAAAATGGAGTAGAATCTGTCTCACGTATATAACTTTAAGATTAAAATAAAGTAAGATAAACACAATAATCCATAGACAATAAAAAAAAACACGTTGAGAGTAGAAAAATTTTTAGCTCCATAATTAGAGTTCATCATGGGTAGGGACACTATTGCTGAGATAATAACTTCTATACGGAATACTCATAGGGATGGAAAAAGAACAGTTCGAATCCCATCCAGTAATATTAACGAAAAGATTGTAAAACTCCTTTTAAAAGAAGGTTTTATTGAAAGTGTGAGAAATCATCGAGAAAACAACAAAAATTTTTTAGTTTTAACTCTGCAACATATAAACACTAAAAAAAGGACCTTTAGCAATATTCTAAATTTAAAACGGATAAGTCGACCCGGTCTACGAATGTATTCTAAGTCTAAAAAAATACCTAAAATTTTAGGCGGGATGGGGGTTGTAATTCTTTCTACTTCACGTGGTATAATGACAGACCGAGAAGCCCGACTGCAAAGAATCGGGGGGGAGATTTTGTTTTATATATGGTAATATTTTCAAGATGCCAATTAGGTAGAAACTTTCCATTTCTATGATTCCCAAATGGGATATTTTAGAATCTAATGAAATCCCCATTCCTTATTGCTTCTAGGTCACTGAAATAAAGAATAAAGTCCTTCGGATGAAAGAACAAAAATCACTTTCCTTTTTTCAAGAATTTTTTTATTAAGGAATCCTTTTCAAATAGTATGTTCTGGTTTTCTTTTTTATTGATTTAGATAATCAACTAATAAAGTAATAAAGATTGGATTATAAGTTCT